CACTGCATTCATATAGCGAGAGATGAAAGAGGCGCTCGTCATTGAGTGGACGAGGGTTGTGGAGAAAATGTAACCTTCTAAACCAGAGCCAAGAACATCTTTGTAATTCAGTATTGGAAAATGTTGCGTTGCTTCCAGTCCTGTTGACTGATACTCTACCATACCTCCAGTGAGCATCAGACCAAAAACAGATTTATGTCTGTTTTATGTTTTGCCCACAAAATATATGGTCAATTCACTTTACAGTATATTCTGTGAAGCCTTTGAGATATCTTGAAAACGTGATAAGGCTTTCTGTCAAATGCAAGAATTATTATTATTATATGGCACTTTTCATGTTGGTAGGACGTTCCCGAGCACTTATCCACTCTTCACACAGAAGTTCTGTAGTGTATTGATTTGAGCACTTAACTTCACAAGCAAGAGGGTTCGATTCCTGGTCAGGGCAAAACCTTATGCAAGTTTCCTTACTCCACACGTCTCTGTTTACCTAGCAGTAAGTAGGAATCCGTTTGTTAGTCGATCGGCGGATCGCTTTTCTGGGAGTAATAATCCCTTTTTTAGAAAAAAATTGTCATTCAATCCGTATTGGTGGGACACTGCTATGCGCAATTGGCTGCCTCGTTTGTGCACCAAGTATACGGTCAATTCACTTTGTGGTGTATTCTGCTTTGAGACGTCTCAATGACACGATCAGGCACTATGTGAAATGCAAGGATGATTATTATACAAGGCTGCGAGAATGTACAAACTTGTATTTATATAGCATCTAATAGAATGTCTTTGGAACACTAAATATAGGGTTACAAGACTGTGGCAGATATGGCTGTGGAGGTACGTGTGTGTGTGTGTTTTAAAGGTTTTTGAAGACTGGGAGGAAGGAAGTGTGCCAAAGTGATTTTGGAAAGCTTGTTCCAGAGGTCAGTAGCGTGATGGCTGAAAGCTCGGCCTTCAAGTTATGGAGCTGTAGTTGCACTTTCAATTGATAACATGATTTAAAAATCATTTTTTTGCAAAATACACATTCCTGTAGAGTATTGGTTGGAGCACACAAACGAGAGCACTCAGGTTGATTCCGGGGCAGGGCGAAACCTTAGGCAAGTTTCCTTACTCTACACGAGTCTGTTTACCTAGCAGTGAGTAAGAACCCGGTTGTTCGTTGTTTGGCGGATAGGTTCCATGGGTAATAATCCCTCCAAAAGTAAATAGATAAATAATTTGGTCACTCAATCTGTGACCGTTTGTGGGACACTGCTGAGCGCAATTGGCTGCCTGCAAAATGCAAAGTCAGTTCACTTTACAATATATTCTGTGAAGTATTTTGAGGATTTTCAACGACGTAATAAGGCGCTTCATCAAATGCAAGGATTATTATTATTTTCATGAAACACTATGAGACGTTCTCCTGGAAGGCAAGATGTCCAATGTAAGCATTCTTTTTATTTTTATTACTCTGATGCTGACTCTCCCAGGCCATTAGATGTTAAGTGTGAAGTTAGTGGTGCGTTTTGACTTGTGAGTCGGGTCTTTGACTTTGGGTCAGAGGGATTATTATTATTGTTTGATAAGAACTAATAATACTTGTATTTGATGGTGTCTTACCAACTATCAAAACTGTTCATAGGATTTACTGTGGAGTGAGTGTATTCTGCACGTGCCAGCCACTTTTGTGCACTCTCAAATATGGGAAATGTTTCTCTATCTCCTTCCTCCAGAAATCACCCCTCTATCCCCCCCTCTCCCACGCCACACGCAATAATACTCTTCCCCCCCCCCCCTCCTTACACCATATTGTATAGAAATATCTCATGTCCATGAATCTTATAGATAAAGCTCAAGGTCCATCCAAGTTGCTCAGGAATGTTAGCTGAATAAAGTAGAGAACTTCAAGTATCTCTTCCAGGCTGTGAATGTGCCAGCTCTGGCCATTACCTCCTCCTCACCATTGGTGGGCAAACCTTAGGCCATCTTGCCCCTCCTCTGGCACTCACTGCTTAAATCCCTTTGCCTTGCTCCCTCCCATTCCACTTTCAAAACCCTTCCAAAGCACAATTGCTTTAACTGTACCTTCAGTCCTCCTCTATTCCGCCCCTCCACATTTATCTCCCACGCTGTTCAGCCTTGTACTTCTATTTCTATAAAGGACTTGGACCTTGTATAGTCAATGCTGATAGTCAAATGCATTAGTGGGGCTGTGCAGCATTGGTAGTGGTTCTGACCATTGGATGAGATGCTAAATTGAGTTTGGATGGATATTAAAGATCCCATAGCACTATTCGACAGAAGAAGAATTTCTACTAGGATCCTGATCCAGAATTCCCTCTCCCCACCTCAGCATCAATAAAATTGGTCACACACTGTGCAATTTGGGTGCTGTGGTTGTCTACATAATGCACAGTCACTCAAAACACTTTACAGTATATCCTTTGAAGCGCTTTGAGGCATCCTCCTTCGATGGAAGGCATGAATATATCACCTCTATCCTTGTCCGGCTCCACTGGGTCCCCATTCCCCAGCGGATCGGGTTCAAGATCCTCATCCTAACCTGTAAATCATTCTATGGTCTTGCCCCACTCTGCAACTCTGCCCCACCAGGCTTCGCGACCACATCACTCCAACCCTCGCTCCCCTCCACTGGCTCCCCATCCCCCAGAGGATCGAATTCAAGATCCTCATCCTCACCTACAAGGCCATTCACGGCCTTGCACCCTCGTACCTCTCTGACCTACTATCCCCCTACCTACCTTCTCGTACCCTCCTTTCCTCTGGCTCCGGTCTGCTCCACATCCCCCGCCCCAACCGCCCTACCATCGGTGGCCGGGCCTTCAGCCTCTTAGCCCCTAGGCTCTGGAACTCTATCCCCAGTGCCTTCGCCGCCTCCTCCCTTTCCTCCTTCAAGACCGGTCTCAAGATCTTTCTCTTTGACCGTGCCTTCAGCTCCCCTCTCGACTCTCTACCCCCTCCTCGCTCCCTCCCTCCCTTCCCTCCCCTCACCCTGACCATTTCCCCCCTCCTCGCTCCCTCCCTTCCCTCCCCTCACCCTGACCATTTCCCTCCTGCTCGGGTCCTGACCCAACTGTACAGCGCCTTGGGACGTCCTCCCGACGTGAAAGGCGCTCTATAAATGGAATCTTGTTGTTGTTGTTGCAACAACTACTTGCATTTATATGGGGCCCTTCACATGGAGTGTTAAGTATCTTGGAGTGCTTGGTGTCTTGGAGCCAGGGAGAGAAGGGAGGTGAACCTAGACACAGTCGGAGACCTCCTCAAACCCTATCACTCCGGCTGCTCCCTCTGCCCAGTGTAAATTTGTACTGTGCATCCTATGCTCAGATTGTTTATTGAGTAACAGAGAATCTCTCGCTCATTCACGGACAGACTTGCTGCAGACACATAGTGGCATAGGACTCCCACATTCACGTGGGACTTTGGCCCAGCAAAAGCTTCAGATTTGCTTTGTGTTATTTATTTTGTGCTGTAGCCACACCTTTGTGTTTAGAGCTGGAGCGTGAACTGCTGGAACCAGTCTCTCATCAGTCCACATCAATCAAAGGCAACCACAGGACGTTCCAGTGGTGCAGCTTCACAAGGCTTCTCCGGCTTGTGGGAATCTCCACTTAGTATGTGCAAAGACACATTCCGGGTTTGACCAATACTTGCTGAACTAGCATTGCTGACCCATCAACATTCAGAGATCAGTAAGATGACACTGCTGAAGTAAGCTGACACCATTATTACCACTGCTTGAGTGTCAGCTTGGTTTAGTGGTAGGACTCTCGCCTCTTGAGTCAGAAGGTTGTGGCTTCAAGCCCCACTCCTGGACTTCGAAACATATAGTGTACGTTGATACTCCAATGCAGTTCTGGGGGTGGGGGTGGGCGGGGGTGGTGTTGCATTGTTGGAGGTATTGTCCTTTGGATGAGACGTTAAACCAAGGCCCGATCTGCCTGTTCAGGTGGAAGTTAAAGATCCGTGGCTCTATTTGAAAAGAGAATGGAATTTCTCCAAGTGTCCTGCCTCCCCCCCTTGGATGTAGTTTCATGGCTGGGACATTGCTGTACGCAATTGTGCTGCCACGTTCGCCTCCGCATACACTGCTACTCCATTTCAAGGTGATGCCTTGAAGAACTGTGAGATGTGCTTACCCTGTGATAAGGTGCTTCACCAAATACAAGGATTATTATTATAATTGAGCAAAATACTGTTTGGCCCCTGAATCTTACCTCTGTTGTAGGACAGCTCTTCCTTGGTGCTTTTGGTAGTGATGGAAATCCACAGGCACTTCAATATCCGGCTCAAGGTTGTGGAGGGCAAGCATATGACATTCACCTGTGTATTTTTGTATGCAAAAATTAATCAACAACTGCAGCGGGTTGCCAGCAAGGATGACACTGGACTCATTTTAAGAAACCATTGCCATGATGGGGAGATGGTAGGGTGGGCATTCTTTGTTTCAGACATTCGGACCTTCATCCGGTCACCTACGATCTCCAGATCTTGCATTACCAACCAGCAAGCTCTAATTCACAAGACATTTAGTCTTGTTGCAAGTTCTACAGCATTTTTTCCCCCAAAAAAATTAACTGCGCAAATTCAGTGGTTCAGAAATTAATTAATCACATTTTTCTTATTCGGTTAAACCTTTTGAGAGGTACTGCAACTTAGACCCAAAGAACTCGTAGAGCTTTACAGAAAAGAAAGGGGCGAAAGAGAGAGAGTCTATCATCAATCACCCATTACATCCCACTGCTGATAAGGTTCCAGAATGTCTCTGTATGTCATGTTGTCACTTCATGAATCACATCCTGGTACCACCCTCAAAATCAGTAGAGAAGTTGTGTTGTGAAGTTGTTCCGAAGGTGGGTGGTGATCGATTTATTAAAAAAAATCATCTTATCTTCCTTGCTATTGAACGGAAGCTCATTGGAAGTAGAGACGTTGCAGTTAGCTGGGTCAGCCGCACTCTGAATTTATTCCTCTTTGTTTTCGTCTCTCCACAGATGAACGGGACAAAGTGCAGAAAAAGACTTTCACAAAATGGATCAACAAACATCTCATTAAGGTCAGTAAAATTTCAATGTGTGTGTGTGTGTTTTCTCAGGTTTAAGAACACCTGACTCACACTTTTACTGCCCAATGCAGGGGGATAAGTCTCTTGAGTCTCATGTCCATCTTTGAAAACAATTCAGTGTATCATGGCAGAGAGTTATTTTGATTCTCGTCCTCTCCATACCCTACTTTTCTGACCTCATGTGAACCAACAGTCCCAGCCACTAACTACTCACCAAAAACTAGCCTGCTTCACATCTCCCACCTGTTTTCCCTTTCATCCGGTGGGTGAGCCTTCAGCAGGTCTGCCTCTGTTCATTGGAAATCCATCATGGAGTCGCTCTCCTTTGGCCGCTCTCTCTCAACTTTTAAAACCTCAAAACTCAAGACTTAGCTCTGTGACTGTGCTTACACATGGAGATTCCTATGTATTGGGGCAGAATGCACCCTCACTTCCTGGAGGGAGTGATATCTTTGTCTAACAAGCGGTACTCTTACATAACAAGGTCAGGTAAGGATATCAAGGGATATGGAACAAAGGCGGGTAAATGGAGTTGACGTACAGATCAGTCATGATGCACCCTGTTTACCTAAACCCAGAGAGTATTAGGCACAGGTCGGTGAGAGCCAAGGCTTGGAGACACCAGAGTGTGCTTCGGAGTACTGCTGTACATCTTGCCATTGATAGCACCAGGTGGCAAGTTTTCCCACTGCTTGTTGAGCTTGGACCACCTTATTTAGCTTGCAGGGTTAACGGGAACTGAGTGGAAAGAATCCCTGCCCCTAGTGACTGGTCTGCCCCGCTAAGTCCTGTCGATGAGCCAGGCTAGCTGCGATGTCATTAGCAGTACCCTGGAGAACTGTGGACTGCCTGGCTCAGAAACAGGACTACCGAGACCGCCACAGAAAGTTGGCTTGATTCTGACATTGTTGTCGAGCATGTTTTGTTTGCTTATCCCCCGCTTCCCCCTCGAGGATAGTGTTGAATTCCAGGATCACTTCTTCTGATGTACTTAGAGAGCTGATTTCCCAAGGGTTTGTTGGATTTTGACCAAATCTTCTATTATGCTATTAGTAATAAAAAAAAGGAGTTCAATAAATCTTTACAAGAATTTCTGTAAAATAATAGGGAACTGGGATTCGAGCTGTCAGCTCTTGTGGGTAACTTGTCTTACTGTGTTAGATTGCTTTCTCCCACGCTGCAATCTGTTTGATCACAGCTTCAGACAGGCTTTTTATGGGCTATTCAAAACAATCAAATTACGTGAGTTCAGATTAGTCATTTATTTTACCATAAAGCAGTGTGACATGGGGCTTGTGTTTGCACATAGCACTCCTCACCTTGTTAATGGTTTTGTAATGAGAAACGTTCTAACCTTCTTATGTTTTTTCTGATGATTATCTTATCTTGTAATAAAAATCTAGAAATTTGGTCACTCAATCAATGACTGTTTATGGGGCATGACTGTGTGGAATTGGCGCCACATTTTGCCAACAAAATATACAGTCAATTCACTTTACAGTATATTCTGTGAATTACTTTGAGACGTCGCAACGAGGTGCTAAATCAAATGCAAGGATTATTATTTTCATGTTAAATTAATTGCCCTTCAGTTACTGACGGGTGCAGATAGTTTCACCAACTGATGCATAGAATCATAGAATCGTACAGCAGAAAAAGAAGCCGTTCGGCCCATTGAGTCTGTGCCTGCTCTTTGAGAAGAGCAATGTAATGTCAATCCCACTCCCCAGCCCTTTCCTCATAACCCTGCAAACCCTCCTCAAATACCCGTCCACCGCGTTTTATAAGTTGTTATCAAATCGGCCTCGACCATCCTTTCAGGCAATGCGTTCCAGATTCGAACAACTCGTTGCATGAAAAAATATCTTCTCACCTCCCCTCTGCTTCTTTTAGAGACCTCAAGTCACCAACACACCCACCAGTGGAAACAGTTTTTCCCTTTCTAACCTATCAAATCCCCTCATGATTTTGAAGACCTCTATTGGGTCTCCTCGTAACCTTCTCTGCTCCAATGAGAATAATCCTAGCCTCTCTAGCCTTTCCTCATAATCAAGGTCCCTCATTCCTGGTACCATCCTTGTAAATCTCCTCTGCACCCTTTCCAATGCCTTAACATCCTTCCTATAGTGTGGTGCCCAGAACTGGGCGCAGTATTCTAACTGAAGCCTAAACAATGTTTTATATAGGTTAATCATAACCTCCTGACTCTTGTACTCTATGCCCCTATTTATAAAGCCTAGTATCCCATATGCCCTTTTTACAGCTTTATCTACCTGTGCTGCCACCTTCAAGGATTCATTTACCTGACTCCCAGGTCTCTCTGTTCTTTCACCCCCCTTAAGATTGTATTACCAGCCTATATTGTCTCCCCTCATTCTTTCTACCAAAATGCATTACCTCGCATTTCTCCACATTGAAATTCATCTGCCATGTGTCTGCCCATTTTACCATTCTGTCTATGTCTTCCTGCAGTTGGCTCCTATCCTTAATGTATTAAATAATGTTTAATATTACCTGCAATTGGGATTATGTTTTATCATGTTACTGCGACGTCTCAAAATGGTTCACAGGATTCTACTATAAAGTATAGTGACTGTATAATTTTTGTGGGCAAATATGACAGCCAATATGTGCACAGCAATGTTCCACAAATATCCACATGGGAATAAACAATTTTATTGGGGGTATCATTGGCCAGCATACTGGGAGACACTGATTTGTCATTTTGGTTGGTGGGATCATGAATATCCACTTGAACAGACGGACAATAGTTCAGTTTAACATCTCATCCGAAGGACAACACCTCCGACACTGAAGCCTACCCCCAACACTGAATTATTTCACAACAATCATTGAAATTCTCTTAATCCAGCTGTTGCCGAACCTCACGGATGGTTTAGAATCTGGATTTGGATGTTTGAAGCTCCTGTATGTGCTGCAGAAGGAAAAGGAAACTTTTATCCACAAGATGTTGGTGACTGTCTTCACTTGTGCTTCACATTCTTGTTAGCTTGACTGCTGATGAGCTAAGTCCTGGCACACAGCACACAGGGCTGGCTATTGACTGTGTGTTTGCTCATGCTGCCTGAGGCTGCAGTGACCACAGTACAAGGTGATGTGATCATTTATGACCGGCATTCTCCGGGGTTAGGCTGGTCTTGGTGACAGTTTGGCTCAGTCGGTAGCATTTTTGCCTCGTGGGTCAGAAGGTTGTAAGTTTAAGTCCCATGTCGAGACTTTCAACTCACCATTGAGGTTGACTCTCCAGTGCAATGTTAGGGGAGCGATGTATTGTCAATCAGAGGTGACGTCCTTTTGGATGAGATGTTATTAGCGAGGTCCTGACTGGCTGTTCCAGTGGATGTTAAAAATCCTGTGACACTACTCAAAGAGGGCGATTATTCCAGTGTCCTAGCCAACAATCTACCAGAAAAAATTGGTAATTTTCTTCAAGTCCCTTCACTCTCTGGCACCTCCCTACTTCTCCATCCTCCTCATGCTCCAATCCACCACCCGGTGCCTCCGCTCGACTGGCACTAGCCTCCTGCTCATCCTTCGCACCCTCTGCCCCACTATCAGAGGTTGTGCTTTCAGCCACTAAACCTCGAAACTCTGCAACGCTCTCCCTCAATCTCCCGCCTTGCCCTCTCTCTCCCCTTTTTCAAGCCCCGCTTGAAAACCTTCCTCTTCAACCATGCTTTCAGTCACCTCCCACTCCTTCCAGGCTCAGAGTCAGGCTCCGCCACTGTTAAGTTCCCTGCACGGAGGGCACTATATAAGTGCAAGTTATTGCTTATAGTCTTGTAATCAAATTGCCTGCGTTTGCCTAACAATACACAGTTACTACACTTAACAATAAAATGCCATGAAGCGCTTTGAACTCTTGCATCTAGTCCTAATTTTAGAAGGCGGTTTATTTTTAGTAACTGCAAGGAAAAAACTTTTCCTAATTTAAAGCTGAACAAGGTGCGATTGTTCACCATATTAAGTAATTTGATTCTATGGGTTGGACAACGTGAGTTGATTTTGAATGAATGAATTGTTGAGTTCTTTTGCAACAAAATGTATGTTTTCCTGAAGAGCTTTTCATTTCCTAAATCGCTTTAGTTACATTTCAATGCTGTTCCTTGTGAGAACAAAACACAGAGCTAAGAGTTGATGTGTTTAATGTTAAATGTCAGATAATAATAATCCTTGCATTTGATATAGCGCTTTTCACGTCGGGAGGACGTCCCAAAGCGCTTCACAGAATATACTGTAAAGTGAATTGACTGTATATTTGTGGGCGAACGCGGCAGCCAATTGCGCACAGCAATGTCCCACAAACAATCGTAGATTCAAAATGACCAATTTATTATTGTTTTTGGAGGGATTATTATTAGGCGTGTGGAGTAAGGAAACTTGCCCAAGGTTTCGCCCTGTCTGGAATTGAACCCAGGTGTCTCGCTTTCAAAGTGAGTGCTCTAACCACTGAGCTACAGGACTCCACTCCAGATAGAGAGAGTGAAGTGGAATGCAAATTCTATAAGGGCGTGTTGGGCTGTCTTCCAAACAGTGTTACTGATGCCTTGGGGTGAGGTGAGAGCAATCTCCTTAAAGTGACCTCTCTGGTGAGGTCAGGGGCATGAGAAACGTCAGGGGCGTGCCCTAATATTCTCCCTAGCTTGGGGGTCAGACTCCGCCACTGTTAAACACTCTGGGATGCTACCGAGCGTGAAGGGCACTGTATAAATACAAGTTGTTGGTATCTGAGGAAGGAACAAACAATGTCACTCTGAGTTCAATCTAGTCTTAGGCTGTCAGCCAAACTATTTTGTCTTGAAGTCCAAGATCACGTGTAGTCTGTGGAAAATTCTCAAATTCTGTCTTGTTTGGAAGCTGGAGCAATTCAAGATCTGCACAAAACTGACTTCCAAATTCTTGCCGGAATTGAAGAATTTTCCACGAATTCTGCAAAATCTTAAGATTCCTGAAGAAAATTGGCTCGCATG